TTGCGACACGTGATGTGGGACCCTTGCCAAATGCTCCCTGTCTTTTCGATCTGTTGACCCTCGTCAACAAGCATTAAAAAAAAGTCATCCCGCAAATTTCATAGGTAGAATATATCTATGGGTCACTTGATAGGAAATCACTATTAATTTATCTTAGCGTATAAATAACTTTTTATATGAATATTATAGCACGAGTAAATACAATTCTATTACTTTATTTCGACTTGACAATTTGAGACTGTTACATTTGAAACTTGGGAATAAGACATGTAATTTGCAGAAGTTCGTCTGATTGGCTAATAAATTCAATTTAATTTACATTATTTATACAGTTAAGAGTACTTATTAAAAAAATCATAATAAAGTCAAAGAAACCATATAGTATGTTTAATTAGAGCTGTAGGACTCTATAGTCAAAAATAATATCCAATTCTCGTCCGTTTAAAAAAATTAGCTTGATTTTATCGGGTTTTGAGAGGTTATTTCTATACTACCTTTTTCAAACGGACGATAATTAAATCTTATTTTTGGCTATGGAGTCCTACAGCTCTAATGAAATCTTCTATATGGTTTTCTTTTACTTTATTATGGTTGGTTTTCGTTTTTTTAAAAAGTACTCTAAACTGTATAAATAATGTAAAATTAAATTGAATTTATTAGTCGTTAAAATAAATTTGAGTTTGTACATCTTCTTTGTTGTACCCTGTTCTTTGTCCATTGACATCACTGCCTATGATACAGATATTATGTAGACTGTGTCACCAAGTGAAAACATGGATGTCTAAATATAGATTACTATTGTTCTATATTTAGACCTCTTACATATAAGTGCTGCAGAATGAAGCTTAAGTTTTCACTGTAGCGAGTTTAGCCCTGAAGGATTGACAATCTGGTAACGCAATAAAGTTTAAATAGCAATCGTGCATATCAACTTGTCCAATCTTGATTGTCAATTGGGAAAACGTTAATTGGCCAAAAATTAACCTAATGTCTGGGTTAAATTATTTTTTCAGCCGATTGAAAGTATCATTTGAGGGCACAATAAATACACACTATCAAAGCTATTGAAATGACCTGAACCACCGATTAGAAGCCTGTAAAATACCTGTTTTTGTGGTTCGGTCCAGTCCGCTTTACAGGTGTTTTTCATAATTCTGGGACATCTAGAAAACAATTGATCAGCCAATTCGATAAGTTTGTGATTTAGGTAATTAATAAGATTGAAAATTACATTTTACAATCTTTAACATTTCATGTAATTTTGCGTAAGTTTAGCTAGCATTATACGATAAATTCTGCATACACACGATCCAACCAATCACATGGAATCATGTACCAATTCCAAAAACTCATACAGGCAGGAACAATATTCAAATAAATTTAATTGGATTTTTGGACATTTGAACATTGGACAATTTCCAATTTGTCCAATTAATTTTAATAATTTTTTTAATTTTTTGGACCATTAGGCATTGGACAATGTCTAATAAAAGTATCAAATTAGTTATACATATGAGCACATTTTTGGAATTATATATACTATATAATCTGATATTTCTTTAATATTGAATAACTTTTGACCTAATAATCTGTTTTTGATAAAAAAAAAAAAAAAGCTTAATGATCTCGTGATCCCGTGACTGGATTTTAACGATTTTGTGCTTCTTGGAATTGTCTCATCGAAATGAACATTTTGGTAAATGTTTCATCAGAAACAAATTACTAGGTCAAAAGTTATTTAAGAAACATAAGATTACATATATTTTAGTACAATTCCTAAAAAGGCGCTCATATGATATGTTCAATTATACCAAATATATAATTAAATAAATTCTAATGAAATATAATTATAATAACCTGAGGTGATCATCATCTCACTATTTTTAGAGTTAGGATGCAATTTAAGACCAAGACAGGGGTTAGATATGATATTCCAAATATCAGTTACATGAGTTTTTGAAGGGTTCTAAACATTTTTACTTGTATATCTGACTTTTGTTTCTTAGTTCCGTTTTGAGATATAGCATTAAGGTGATAATCACCTCAGGTTATAGTTAATAATATTCAATTTTAATTATTTAACAAAATTAAAATAATACAATAAAACTTTGTAATAGTTACACTATAAAATCAGAAATTTTGTGACTACTGCAAGCTTGTGACTAATATAAAATAATTATAAAAAACTGTATCTTACAACTCAGATTGAATAAATACTTTTATATTACTAAATTCTATAGCTTAGAATCAATAACTAAATTTAAAATAAATCTTACAATATTTATAATTTTTGATTCTTTTACTAGTTAAAAATTTTATAATTAAATTGTGTAATAGTAAAAAATTTTTTTCTAAAGTTAAAATCTAAGTTACAAATAATGTTAAATTTTAATTTTAAATAAAATTAATTTTTAATTTATTTAAGATTTTCAATCAAATTGCTTTATATAAATATAATAAAACAGTATAAAAAGTTTTTAATTTAATTCAAAAACTACAAGTTTTGATGTCAAATATCTCCAAATATACTCATACTTATGTTTATTATTACATATTTTATCAAGTCATTACATTTTTCAAAAAACTGCAAAAATTGCAATTGGTTCAATAGTTGCAATTAATTGCCCTCACAATTAATTATTCAGTAGGAAGAAAAACTTGATTAATAAATAATAATCTTGAAACCCGTTATAGTAAACTTTCGCTGTAACTAGATTTATAAACGATTCTCTCTTCAATCATGAACCAAATTAACACAAATAAATAATTAAAACGAAGCCATAGAAGGTTGCAGAGTTCTAAAAATATACTCACGAGTTAATAACGAAAAAAATCAGTACCCAAATACAGCTCACCTTTGTTAGAGTGCACTCTTGATGTAATAGAATTAATTATATAATATTTTCGAGCCTATAGGTTTCACTATAGCGTAATATGTTGTTTTCTTGTTTTTCTACATATGAGCCACCTTTATTTTTTGTCGGCATATGTTCTTATAATAAAAATGTTAAATGTTCCTTATAGAAGTAGTTTACTATTTTCGATGCCGGGCTCTAATGAATATTTTTTAAAAGTTTATTATACTGTTATAGAGATAGATGTGTTCATTATAAAAAGGTGAGTTGCAAGAATAACTTCGCCCTCCATTAGTGATTTACTGCCCCGATATCGATATTATAAGCTTTTAAAGCCTGAAGTCAACAGGAGGAACCGTCGATGTTACACGACTGATCCTTCACCCGGTGTGCAACATATATGTTGCACACCGGGTGAAGGATCAGTTTTCAAATTTTATATGCATTTGCATATTATACACTTTATACTCAGTTGTGACCTAATCATCCATACTCACGTGTTTGCTAATTTAATGTATTACGTATACTCTACTACTTTACTAAACCATACACCACTACAATAACATATACATATTTTTATATCTTAAACTGTATATAATAGCAAAATCTGAATTGAGATTAGTAGAGAGTATATCCGGATATAACCGTTACCCTCTTATTTTATTAGGGTATAAACCCGGTTATTAGATTTTATTAGAGATTATATCTTTTCGGGTAAAAAGGTTAACCGGGTACGTACGTACAAGTTACGTTCCATTTTTGGCAATACATTATCAAAAAATGTCTATTCAATCGAGCAGTATGTTAAATCAGTTAAGGTCTCTTTCTTTATTTCGCTGAAAAATTCTCCATTTTCATAACGATTTTTCATGTTTACAGATACACCGACATAATGTTAGCTTGTCTCGTTATAGGTGAAGATAAATGTTTATAATCGAAATCGATAAAATCAAAACCATTTCGCAACTTAGAGACAAAATAAAAAATGACCAAAAAATGACCAAAAAAAGAACGCCTTTGCTAATATTGACGCAAATGAACTCACGTTATTTAAAGTAAATATTCCTGAAAGCAGGAAATGTGAAATTTATTCAGGAACTGACATTGAACGAGATTTTGGCGGTGAAGAGCTGGTTAATGATTTGGATTCAATTAAAGAACATTTTAGCATAAAGCCCACAGAAAAACACATTCATATAATTATAAAACTGCCCGTAAATATTGGCAAATATCACTTTGAAAAAATTTGTAATCATCTGACTTTAAAAATATATATAGGTTGTTCTGATATCTTTTAAAGCAGGTTCTCGGTAAGGCTACGTGAAGGGTACGGTGACTTTCTTCATAGCTAGTTAGATTATTTTCTGATTATAATATTCTCTTTTTACTACTTCTTATAACTTTTTAGGTGTACCACCTGAACCCGATGATATTTTTGAAAACTTCCTTAACAGTGAACATAGTCAATTTCTCAAATCATATGTAACAAATAATGACGCGTTGCCATTATACAAATCAAAAACACCGCTTAAAACAGACGTACCTGCTACCTCTTCAGAGGAACGTCCTTCGCTCTTACTATACAATCTCCCTGGAGGTATTATAGAAAAGCACCAACCAATTACTCGGATTTCAGATATTCAGTCTGCCATTGCAAAAGCAAAGAACAACCTGTTGGTTATGCTAGGGACATCCGGATGTCGAAAAACAAGAACGTCTTATGAGTTACTCTGTGAAAATTGGGGGCTTTACTTTGTGGCATCACGCAAGGGAAATGGAGGCTCAGGCGATATTGAAGCAATCAAGAATTACCTTGAGGAAAAAGTAACAGAAGATTCGGAAATAAATCACAAACATGCAGAACATATTACCTGTTGTGTAATTCTTTCTCGACTTTTCATCCTAAATCATTGTATTAACTTATTATCTAACCTAACAACGATCAATGCACAGCGCTGGTTCTTACTGCAAGCCTGTCATAAAATCTTTGAAAGGCTTTATAATTACACTGATCATATATTTCTCAGACTCATGCTGTCGCTCGCTGATTGTACATCATCTTCTGTGAAAAATTGCATTGATATAACATATACAAAAATTCTTAAAATTAAAAAAATTAATATCTTTCCCATCATCCTGGATGAAACGCAAGTACTTGAAATGGTACTTAAAGGAAAGTTTAAATCACGAAGAAATGAAGAGAAACGCTCACTCTTGTCTCCGATCATTCAGTCATTGAGAGAGCCAACACCATCTATTGTAAATCATTGCGTCATTCCATGCGGTACTGGGCCTAGGATCTTTTCTCTCGAGGAAGCTTTTATTACAGGAATTTCGAAACCAGAAACTGGCATAGATAAATTCACTGAATTTGGAGGATGGCAGAGCGTTGCTCATGTAAAGAACTACATTAGTAATCTAGTAGAATTGACAGATAATGAATATAGCCATCTTTATGATCACTTTCATGGCCGATTTCGTCCAATTGTTACCTGTGTGGAAGAGATTATCATGGGAGAATCGGTAGAAGATGCTGTTAGTAGGTGTTGGAAACTTTTAACAAGGGTAATATCAATTATCAATCATTGTATAACCAGCTACTCAAGATCATTGATATGGAGCGACCCAATCACGTGTTTTCGACAAATGTTCTTGATTTGTATAAAAGCGTAACACTTGTCTATTATTATTCTGGAAGTCCGTTTTTGTTCACTGATATTAATCAAATGATAGTTGTAAGTGGATTTGGGCGTCTCCAGTTGGTAAACCCACCCACCATCTCTCAGCTTAAGCAAGTATTTGGAGGTATAGATGAAGATATGTTGCGTATCTCAAGTGTAAATGTAGATTTGTTATATCCTACATCAGAAAGGGAGAAATCTTTGGTCACTTTTGTAGATGAACCATTTGCTCTTACTGCTTCCTTCAATTACTTTAAGGACTACGATAGTCTGCCTAAAGATATTCTTAAGATGATGTCCAAAGTTAAAAATGTGAGTTCATGTGGCTCATTGTGGCAAATGTACTTACCTGCGGAATTTGAGAGAATATTCAACGGCCAGAATGATATTAGAAATATACCGATATTTGCTAAAATTACCGAGAATGGAAACTTGCCACCCTTTTGTAAAAGATCACCAAAGATTGTCAAATCCTCTAAAGATAATATACCATTAGTGGCAAACGCAAGTTCTTTAATGAATCATCCGAGTTACGCCCGGCATTTTATTTACCAGATGATCGCTGTGGTCCTGATATCATTTTCTTTGTTGAATTTGAGAATAATATCACAATTCCTGTCTTTGTTCAGGTTAAATTGCACTATTCAGTTCACACAATCGCAGGGGCACTCAGTACGATTGATTCAAAAATGTTTTATAAGGATAAAACGGAAAAATTTTTCAAGAATCAAATAAACCCATCATTGGTAAGATAATGGAACGGTGCGAAGAATTTGGTTCTATTGGCATATTGGTTGCTTATCCAGCTGATATATGCCAAGAATCCTTTATTACAAATAATCATTTGCATAATTTAAGGAATCGATCATGCCAGCAACAGCTCATTGAAATCATCAATCACAAAAATGCGTCAGAAGTTCTTCAAGGAGATCATCTACGATTTTTAGATGCACTGAAAAATACTATGAAAAGAAAAAAAATGAGTGAAAAGGGTTGACAAAAAAGCAAAGACAGGACAAATATTAATTATTGTTCTACAGAAAATTGTTCGCTTCAATTTGTTCTTATAGTCTGCCTAGTTTAATATTATTAAAAATAATAAGTCTATGTTACAAACAAAAACTTTCTTATAAAACAATAAATGTTATTAAATGAGATTGTACAAATAAAAACATTACTTAAAAAAACAAATATAATAGAGTAGAAGACGTTTAAAGTGAGGAATTTCTCGAGCCCTAACCCATTAAATGAGAGTTCCTTCCCGTTACTCTGAATTATTAGAAACTATATTCGTTTTGCTATCGATCCAAGCACCTTATTTTATCTAAGTTACTACTTTTTTAAATCATTAATTCTATGATAATATTTTTTGATAATATCTTTACTAAGTTTTTTTTCATCCCAAGATTCAGAATATTAACTATTATAATACTACACATATTATCTAAAGAACAACTTCCCTTCGCTATGATCCTATCGAAAATAATCTTAAACTGATTTCATTTTATTGAACTAATATCTGAAAATAATCTTTGATTTGAGTTACTAAAAGAACCCAAAGAAGAAGTGGAAGGGAAAATCAGACATAGGTACAGATGGGTTAGTGGCTTATCAGGTGATATTTTTTAATATAAGTTACCAAAAAATCATCGGCGAATTTTTTTTGGTTTTTCAAAAAAGTATATGATATTGATGTGTAAACTTATTACATCATAATTACGGATTTGTTCTATAAACTGGTTTTATTTAAGTAACATATTATTGAATTTAAAATTTTTTAAATTGTTCTTGTTCTCGAAACTTTGAAATAAAAAATGTCATGTTTTTATTATTTTTTAGATACTCACATAAATATATACCTTTAGATAAAAAATAAAATGTGTTTGAGCCTGATGGTATCATAATCGTTGGTCAATACTAGTTTTGGGTATTGATAATAAAAACCAAACCTATCTTACATCTGATGATATTATGACCGTTGGCCAATATCATCATTTAACAAGAATTCATATAGTTTATATTTTAAAGAACATATCAAATTTCTTAACCGTCTTAAAAAAAGAGCACCAGATAACGAAACATGAAGAACGAAAAAATTTATTTCTGAAATTAAAAGGTAATTATCTTAAGTATGTTTATTATTTTTGTTGTTACGTACTAATTTTTTTGTTTCTATTATATTTGTATTCATGTACTAATTTTGTTGTTATTACTTTTTTTTCACTTAAGAAATTATAAGATTAGATAGAAAAATTGATAAGAAAAATGCAATAATCAAAGAAAAATACGATGTTTACAGACAAAGTTGAGAAAAAGATTATGATTTAAATTTCAAGATTTGTTGTTAATCTTTTTTATTAAGGTAGTTGATTTTTTATTATTATAATTTTATTTTAATTTTTTTTTAATTTGTATAGTTGGAATTAAAGATGAGATCCGGTTATCCGTTGTGTTAATTTTATAACAAATTTATTATGAAGAATCCAGATATTCAGATATCCGTTAAATTTTAAGTATGAAAACGGATAACGGATCACATCTCTAGTTGGAATAGATTTATTAGTCCAAGAATAGTTTTTCAAATAATATTAAAAAGAAAGCTAATATTAGTTTATTAAGAGTGTTTTTTTCAATATTAATAATGTAAAATATATAATATATTTACTATTTGCTAAGCTGTTAATAAAAGATTATTTCAATCAAAAATATTATATTTAATTCAAAGTTTTTTATACTTGATTTTGTTTTTTATTTAAGTTCATCTTCAATCTGTATAAAATTATTGGCAATCAGTTGACATCTAAAAGTAGTAGCAATCTTATTAACTATCAGAAAAATGGATAACAAATAATTAGCAATATTAATCAATTGGATTTTTTTTAATAGTTTAGTTAACATTCAAAAGAATGGTAATAGATTTTTAGCAACATAGTTAGATAGAATGCAGTATATAAATTATAAATATGTTGATAATAAATATGAATATATACAGTTACATTTACTATTATATAAAGTGGAAATTAAAATAACATAAAATAATTTAAAAGTAAGTTTATATTATTTTATTATATCAAGCATCAAATCAAATATATAATTTATTTAATTTTGTATGCTTAATTTGTATATTAATATACTATTATATATTTAATATTAATAAGTCAATTGAATTAATTAAAAGATATGAGTATTTATAGATTAATCCAAAATACAGTTACAAAGAAGTATATGTAAGTATTTGATAAATTAAATATAAATAAGATTATAAATAAGAATATGCACAAATTTCAAGCAATATAATACATTTTATGCTTGGTGCTAAAACATATAACTCTCAGAAGACAATACAAAGATAGACAAGTAAAAATAAGAATATTGATGAGTGCATTAAGAAATTTTAACTTAAAACTACAAAACATGTAAATGTAATCAAATAGATTCTTTTTAATAGTCTAGTTAATATTCAAATTATTGTTAAAAAAAGATTTGGTATTGTATTTTTTTGCAATATAGTTAGATAATAAAAAAAACAGTTTTATATACTTCTAATAAGCTTATACAATTATATACATATTATATATAATTGTACTTTAAATTTTATCTAGTTCACAATGAACTTTTTAAAAAAAGTATATTAAAATATTTTATTTATAATCTAATATAAATAAATTATAAACTATTAACATTATAAATTTTGATTCAAATTAACAAGTTTAAAAGTTATATAAAATTTAGATTAGTGAATAATAATTTTAAAATGTATAGACACAACTAATTATAAATATTTAATAGTATTTCAATATGCAAATAGAGAAAATCTTTATAATATAGAGGTGTAGTGACCTAGTGAAGTAGATAGATTGTCAACCCCCAAGTGGCAGGTCTAGAGTTCAAATCCCAGTGATGGCAAAAATTTGCAATTCTTTCTGTATTACAGCTAACTGTTTTTCATGATTGGTTGGGATAGAATACTTGTAACCCATGTCATACCAGCCTGACTAAAAGGTTGAGGCATTCATGCAATGTTGTATAAAGGAACACAAACCAGTACCCGGCAGTGTGAACCCAAGATAAGTTCTTAGACTATGTAAATCATAGAAACCAGGTAGGAGGATGAAAGCCCACTTGGAAGACCCAAGTAGAGAGGTAACCCAAACTTTCGACAGTGCTACTGTAAAGACTGACCTATGAAACAGAGCTAGAACTTGTAAAACCAGGCAAAGAGCCGGCCTTTGAGAAGAGGCTGAATGGAACCAACCAGGCTGCCAGAATTTCCAAGTTCTGGAGGAAATGGTTACATGTCAGCAAACATGTAAACCAAAGGTGTATGGTTACAATCTGCCTTTCTGGGCTATCTGGTTTGAGAGCTTGATGGAACTTGAATTGAATACCAAAATAGTAGGGATATGTTGTGAAGTCAGTACTGGGGTTGGGGTGAACTCTACAAAAGCATAGTGGTTTAATAATATGCCCTGACCAACAGTATTGGTTTTGGCCATAGCAATACCAGGTCAGCTGTAAGAATAGGATACAGAAGATTCTGGAAGGTTTAGTACAAGATCAAAGGTTCCCCATGTGAGTGAACTGCTTTAAAGACTTAGTAACCATGGCATAATTGAATCAGTATCAACCGAGGCATCTTGGTAGGTGTAGGTAGATGGGTGGATATGGGAACAGAGTGGTTAAATAGGGAACCTACAAGCAGGTTCCAGGTATGGCAGCTAGTGTAGAACCTTCGGGCGGACTACTTAAATTAGACAATGACTAAAGTTGTATAAGTGGCTAGTTGTACACTCTTTCCATGGTTGCCCCCTGTAGTTGTAATACAACTATTAGCTGAATGTACTATCAATAAAATCATGGGTCGCAAGTACTTACCTTAATATTTAAAAAAAAAAAAAAAAAGATTACAATTAGGCACTTATATAACTTTAATTATTGTTTATTTAAAGTTTCTATCTGCAGGTTACCTACTAATTGTTATATCTAAAATTTACTTATAAGTTTCTTATTTAAAGTTTTTGATTTTTAATATTTTTTTATATTACTTATTTATTTTTTTGATACAGGCTTTAAGGCTACTTTATCTCAATACAAACTCTACTAAATAAAAATAAATTTTATAATTACACCTATTTAAATTTATAATGTTAGAGATGATTTCATATTAAGTAAAATTATTTTTTTACAAATATTGTTAATATTCTTTATATTTCTTACTATAGTAATGCTTATACTTTGTCATATTAGTTTTTTTTAAAAAATTTTTTAAATTAAATATATATCTTTACTTGAACTTTTACAAAATTTTACATCTAATTATAGGCTTCATTTTTGGTTATAAAGTATTTTACCTCTAGCTAAACTTGAATTATTATTCTTGTTTGTAAAAGAATAAGATTCAACTTTATATATTTTATTTCTGCTTAATACATATATTTGATCTTCTACTTCATATATTCAATATTTATTTAATTTATTTAATAAACATTAATTATTTTTAAATTATTATTATTATTATTATTTTAATATTAAAGATAATCTAAATTATTTTTATAAACCATAATAATTAAAGTTAACTTATAACATAATATATTCCTTATAATATATATCATATAATGATAATTTTTAACTTAAAAAATATAACAACTTATTTTTTGATTTTGTTCTCAGTATAAATAATATTCGGTCTTGTTTTGCTTTTCTAAACTTTATAAAGTACTATATTTAAGTTAACTATTGTTTGTTTTTAGTTTTAACGTCAAAATACTTTCATTATCTTAAAATATAAACTCAATTACCTTCGATCTCTTATAAAACTCGCCTCTAAGAAAATTTTTTAAAGATTGTGATTATTTTTAGGTATTTGAAAGCTTTTTCAGGGTTTCAAAAAATCACGGGAATAAAAAGTACTTTAAACTGTATAAAAAACCCCTTTATTAAATTAGCTAGATCATCGGTTTGTCCACCCTGCTGATCTTATTATTAAGATCCGAATCT